AAGAAGGGTCCCGACCCGAAACGTCAACTTTCCTCTGATGCTGCCTGGCCTGTTGTGTTCCTCCAGCTCCACACGACAGCATGCTCCCCAAGGATCTATCTCTGCTTTGTACTACCATGCCGATTTCTCTTTCTCAACTTCATGTTGGATCATGGAAGACCAAAGCTCAAAGACCCTCAAACAGTTGCTCCCGAGTGATGCACAAAAGCAGCACTGTGCCATCCGCAAGATGGACTGAAGAAATTCACCAAAGTTTCTTAGACAGCACTTTTTCCAAACTCAACTACTTTTATATATTTTTTCTAAGTATACTGCAAGGGCAAGGGCAGCAGATTCATTTGAACACCAATACCTGCAAGATCTCCTCCAATTCATACATCACCCTGATTTGGAAATATATCACCGATCCTTCAGTATCACTGGGTCAGAATTTTGGAACACTCTCTCCAATCGTGGGTGAAGCAGCCAAATGGACTGCAATGCTTCAAAGAGGCAGATCACTACCACCATCTTGAGGGAGACTAGGGATAGGCAATAAATTTTGGTCTAGCCTGTGAAGCCCATGTCCCCTGAATGAATTAGAAATGAAATCCTTCATCTGCTGCTCCTGGTTGGCACATGCAATTTATTTTACCCGCTGTTGAACTGCTCTTTCAGACTGTTTGTGATTAAAGGGTCCTGTTCAACTCATCCCTGAATTTTTGTCTTTGATCCTCTTGATCATTAAGGGAAATGTTAACTCTGATTTTTTCCTTCACAGATGCTGCCAGACCTGCTGAGCTTTTCCAGCAACTTTGTTTTTGTTCCTGATTTACAGCATCTGCAGTGCTTTCGGTTTTTATTTGGTATTCCACTCATTCTAAGTATCAATCTAGTAAATGTCCTTCAGTACATTTCATTTTTTTCCCTTGAATTAAGGCAACCAAAATTGCGCACTATTCTAGTGGCCTCACCAGTGCCCTGTATAGTACAACAATCTTTTATGTTCAGCCCAGCTGCCCTTGAAACACTCCTCCATGCCTTTACCCCTCTGTTCTCACTTAATCCAGTAATCCCCTGACTAGTGTCTCATTCTCCACTCTTAGTAAACTTCATTTCATCTGAAATGTTGCTTCCTTCGTCCGTCCATTTCCACTCAAAATCTTTTTTATCGCTAACGTACTGTGGCTTCTAGCCCAACCATGTCTCAAATTTAAAATCCTCCTTCCTGTGCTGAAATCAGACCACAACCTTTATCTTTCTATCTGTCACCACCTCCAGCCCTACAATCACCTTCCCATAACTCGGGTATTGTATACATGTCTTTTCTCATGCACATGTCTTCTTGCTACATCCTTGTCTCCCTTATTTGGGGTTCTCTTTCCAAACCTTTCTGTTTTTTCAACTCTTTGTTTTCCAAGATCCTCAAGAAAACGTATCTTTAGAAGGCTATTTTCCTTCTTGGATCTTCCTCTATCATTTTTCTCTGAAGTACTTGAGTGGGTTGTTGAGCCAGTGTGATTGTGTATGCAGGTTCTCAGAGATTGTTTGAAAGAGTACGCAGATTGGTAGAAAAATAAGCCTGTTGATAAAATTGAAGCCGTGAATTTAAAGAGACAATAGATATGAACTTAACCAAAGGGTAGACAGCAGAGAGTAGTGGTGAATGGTTACTTCTAATTCTGGAAGGAAGTATTTAGTGACGTGCCTCAGTGGTTGTGCTGTTTGACGTATAAATGAGCTTGACTTGGGTCAGGTTTCACAGCTTGCCTTTAAGCAGGAAGTTAGTAAACAAAAAGAGGGTTATACTCAAATTAGGAGAACAGAGATGAGTGAAATGATAGACATTCACACTGGCATAAAATATCTCTCCATCTTTCTTTTTCTAGAAAGAATATGAAGCAATGTGAACTAAAATGTACAGTTTTATGTGGACTACAGGTACCCAGATACCTGGGCATTCATGTAGATAATTCTTTGAAGGTAGTAGGACATGTTTGAACTGTTTTAATTAAGCACATGGGATGTGAAGGAATGACTAAATTTTAGTTTAAGGTTACATTTTCAGTCAGTAATAGTTAAAAATAAGTTGAAACTACGATGTTCAGAGGCAGAATAACGGAAGCTTTAGGTCCAGAACAATGTCGGTTCGTGCAGTGGGAAGATACTAAAGTGCATCAAGACACCTGATCATTGTCCAATGGAAATTGATTTGATTTTGATTTGATTTTTTACTGTTACATGTCCCAAGGTTCAGTATAACGTTTTGTCTTATGTGCTTTACAGCAGATCATACTATACAAGTGCATCGGGGTAACAGAATAGAGCGCAGGATATAATGTTACAGCTGCTGAGAAGTTGCAGAGAGTGTTCAACATTAACATTTGAGGTCCATTCAAAAGTCTGATAACAATGGGAAAGAAGCTGTTCTCAAATTTATTCATATGTGTATTCAAAATTTCATACCTTGCCAACAGGAGAGGGTGGAAGAGATATTACGGGGTGGGGCGGGTCTTTAATTATGTTGGTCACTTTCTTGATGCTGCAGGAAGTACAGATGAAGTCAATGGATGGGAGATAGTAGGAACTGCCGATGCTGGAGAATCTGAGATAACAAGGTGTAGAGCTGGATGAACACGGCAGGCCAAGCAGCATCAGAGGAGCACGAAACGTCAGCCTTCCTGCTCCTCTGATGCTGCTTGGCCTGCTGTGTTCATCCAGCTCTACACCTTGTTATCTCAATGGATGGGAGGCTGGTTTGTGTGATGGACTGGGCTGTATTTACAACTCCAGTTCCTTGCAGTCTTGGGAAAAGCAGTTGCCATACCATGCTGTGATGCATCCAGATAGGATGCTTTCTATGATGCATCTATAAAAATTTGTAAGAGTCCTGATGAAAATGCCAAATTTCATTAGCCTCGTAAGGTAGTAGAGGTGTTACTGTGCTTTCTTCATCATAGTGTCAATTATGTTTAGCGATTAGTGATCGTTGCTCCCAGGAACTTGATGCTATCGACCATCTCCACCTCAACACCACTTATACAGACAGGGGCGTGCCCTTCACTCTGCTTCCTGAAGTCAATGACCAGCTCCTTGGTTGATGGAGAGATTGTTGTCTCTACATCATGTCCCGAAGCACTGTATCTCCTTCCTGACTCCATCTCGTCGTTGATTGAGATCTGGCCTCCAATGATGGTGTCGGCAGCAAACTTGTAACCGGAGTTGGTGTGGAATTTGGCCGCACAATCGTATATGTATAAGGAGGATAGTTGGGGGCTGAGTATGCAGCCTTGTAGTGCACCGGCGTTGATTATTGTGGAGGAGGTTTTCTTACTGACTGCAGTCTGTTGGTCAGGCAGTTGAGAATTCAGTTACAGAGGGGAGAGCAGAGACCTCGGTCCTGGAGTTTGGAGATGAATTTGTTTGGAATTATGGTGTTGAAGGTGGAGCTGTGGTCAATAAATAGGAGCCTGAATAAGTAGGAGCCTGAAGTATCTGCAATTATACAGGGTATTGGTGAGGCCTCACCTGGAATATTGTGTGCAGTTTTGGTCTCCTTGTCCGAGAAGGGATGCTCTTGCTACAGAGGGAGTGCAGCAAAGGTTTACCAAATTGATTTCTGGGATGGCAAGACTGGTGTATGAGGAGAGATTGAGGTCGATTAGAATTGTATTCAAAGGAGTTTAGAAAAATGGTGGGGGGTGGGGGGTGGTGGTGGCGATCTCATAAAAACAGATAGACTTCTAACAGGATTAGACAGGTTAGATGCAGGAAGGATGTTCCTGATAGTGGTGGAGTCTAGAATCGTAGTTTAAGGAGAAGGAATTTCCTTTCAGGATTGAGATGAGAAGAAATTTCTTCATCCAGCTAGTGGTGAGCCTGTGCAATTCATTGCCACAGAAAGTAGTTGAGGCTAAAACATTATGTATTTCAAGAAGGAGCTCTTGTGGCTAAAGGGATCAAGGGAGATGGTGGAGTGTAGGATTAGAGTATTGAGCTCAATGATCAGCCATAATCATATTGAATTGCAGAATAGTCTTGAGGGGTCAAACGGCCTGCTCTTGCTCCTTTCTTCGCTGTTTCTATGAAAGCAAAAAAAGTTCTTTAAAATAATTGTGGAATCTTGCAGCAGAAAAGAAATTCTGTCCATCCTATGTGTATTACTCAATGATAAAGCATTGCAATTACTTCCACTCATTCTTGTGCTGTGCTTACAGCTCTGCAAATTTTCCCTGTTTGAGTACGTTATCTATTATGCTGTTCAAAGTTACCACCATATTAATGTGCAACTGCCACTAATGATTGTTTCCTAAATTGTCTTAGAACATTGAGAAATTTACCTCGTTTAAAGATGATCTTGGAGCATGGTCTAAGTGAGCAGCACAGAGTCTGTACTAAATTGACAGTAGAATTGCTACATACACAATTCAAGAATTCCAACATTGACATTGGAACAGCTTTCCAAAACTGTCATCGATATTAAGCAAATGTTTTGTGAGATGTACATTAATTTTAGTGACAGGAGCAGCAAGAGTCCCTTTAGGTTGTTGTCAGGCCCTTTTATCTACCTATTCTGTCTGATTCTTCATTTCATTTTTGCAATTGCTCTTTTTCATTCCTCCTTCAAGAAAAAAAAAGGAAGAACTTAAATTTTCGTAGTGGGTTCCAGCACCTCAGCAAGTCCCAAAGCACCTTATGTCCAATTAAGTCCTCTTGCACATGTAATCACCGATGTAGAAAACATGACAGCCAATTTACTAACAGCAAGATTAATCCTCTGGAGGAGAACAAATTTTCAACATGATGCAAGAACTGTATCCACAGAACCACGGATGATGCCTTAAGAGTCTTTAAAAATGAGCTATGGCATCACTGAATCTCTGCTTCATGTCTAACTGTTGTCTTTACTTCTACTTGGCATTACTTGTGTTGAGAGTTTTGGGCAATTCATTAGTCTTTTGATAACTGTATAAATATTCCATATAGTGTGAGATTGTAGTAAATCCGTACATTTCTTTTAGATGGCTGGAAGTCCTCTTCACATCGTTACAAAATGTTGCCATTTGGGAAATGGGAGCTGCACATTCCACCCAGAGCTGATGGTTCATCTCCGATACCCCATGGGTCGAAGCTTAAGGTGAGCATTTTGCATACGTAGTTTCACGTGAAAAGCGCAATGCTTTTACCATGAATAAGCTTTGTTACATTAGAATATTTGTCTCACTGCTTATTTGGAGATCATTAGAGTGTTTTTCCGCATGAAGTAAGTTCCTGTCAACGTTTCTCTTGATTGGTAGTGGAAGAGATGAGGAAGTGAGCTCTCTTTGGACAGAAATTTTTGTACAAGTAGTTCAATATTTGTGAAAAAGTCAGCAACTCATCATTTGCTGTGCTTAAATTCTCCAGTAGCTCTGTTCAGCCAATTGATTAACTGTTGATTTAAACTTGACAACTTTCTCAGACCAAGTCACTCTTGATCCTGCAGTTCCAGTTATTTTCAGGGTTTGTGATCAGTCTCAGTCAAGAGCAGTTCCTAACTTTTCCAGCTTTAGGAAGTAAAGCAGTTTTTCCATACTAGGTTTAGTAGATATCTGGCATACTTTTCTGCCAAAAACCTTTTGAAACTGGGTCAGTTAGAGCTATCAAGACCATGATGGATTGATTTGAGTTAGGCAAAGGAATGCAGGAGATGTATCAACTTGTGATATAGATCAGGCAAGAATTCCTTGGATGACAACTGACTGGACTGAAGATCCTGTGCTCCTTCTCTCAACAATTCTGTTTCCTTGCATGCAGATGAGTCATGTTCCTGGTCTGAGGCCATCCTTAGCTGGTAACTCACCTAGTTCTCAATCCTTAATAAATTATTTTGCCTACGTTTGCCCATTTTCTCTAATTGGGATGAACCAATTTTCTATCTGTCTCGCTGCCAACAAATGAAGTTTGGAGCGTGTGTGTAAGTCAATTCATGTGACGCAGTTTCACACGATCAGCTGCCCAGGTTTTATAAGTCCTGAAAAAAGCTGCTATTGATTAAGCTTAGGGTCAAGTTTAGCAGACTTACTTAGTTCACATTCCTTTTAACAATTAATTTAATCTTTGCTTCGTGGCACTTTGATGAAATAGTTGCCCAGTGTGGCCATGCCAATATTGAGAATTCACTGTCATCTAAACCGTAGATTTATATGTCATTCACGACAATGGACTGAGTGTGCATTTGTGACAAAGAAACTATACAGTTCCCTAAAATCAAATTCTTAAGTCTGATGCTGGCTGTGTACCTTCTCCAATATCTGCAGAGAATTGGTGCAAACAGCCTTTACTGGTGGTGCTCGTTATGTCTGAAGATTTACTGGACTCAAAATGTTAACTCTGCTTTCTTCCTGCAGATATTGCCAGACCTGCTGAGTTTCTCCAGCATTTTCTGTTTTTGTTTCAGATTTCTAGCGTCTGCAGTTTTTTGTTTTATTATATCTCATCATGTCTGGTTGCACTTGAGGGCGCTATTTTGCTTCCAAGGGCCAATATTTTTCTTGCTTTAGTCATTCATGGGATGAGGGCATCGCTGGCTAGGCAGCATTTATTGCCCATCCCTAATTGCCCAGAGGGCAGTTCAGAGTCAACCACATTGCTGTGGGTCTGGAGTCACATGTAGGCCAGACCAGGTAAGGATGGCAGTTTCCTTCCCTAAAGGACATTAGTGAAAAAGATGGGATTTTTCCGACAATCCACAATGGATTCATGGTCATCATTAGATTGTTAATTCCAGATATTTTATTGAAATCAAATTCCACCATCTGCCGTGGCAGGATTCAAACCCAGGTCGCCAGAACATTATCTGGGTCTCTGGATTTAACAGTCCAGCGATAATACCACTCGGCTATTGCCTCCCCTTAGTCAACATGTAAGCATTAATAAGAAATCGTGAAACACTCTGGCGAAACCTGAGAGTTTACATTTGTATAGAACCTTTAATGTAATAAAAATGTCCAAGGGCATTTCACAGAAGTGTCATCAGAGAATATGACATACAACCTTGGAAGAAGATGCGAGGTTACCCGGCAAGTTCGCATCAAGGGGTTAGCTTTTAAGAGCCTCTTATCGGAAAAAGAGAAGTGACAAAGTTGAGAAGTGTAGGGAATAACTTCTAGAAGTTGAGTTGGCAATCTCATTGGCAGTTACAGTGGTGGTTATGAAATCAAGAATTTAAACACATCATAATCTTTTTAAAATTGAGGTTGTGGACTGGGAGTCAAAGTAGGTCAGCGAGCAAACAAAAACAGAAATTGTTGAAGAACTCAGCTTGAGTTCTGAAGGAGAGTGGATTAACTCTGCTTTCTTTCACAGATGCTGCCAGACCTGCTGAGTTTCTCCAGCAATTTCTGTTTTTGTTTGTTTCAGGTCTCCAGCATTTGCAGTTCTTCGTTTTATTTAGGTTGGAAAGCATTAGCTTCAAGAAATTATGGTGCCTCATTTGTGTTCTCGCACTGCTTTTGGAGGTTAGATTGTCACATAAGCGAACGTTAAAGAATGGTAAAAGCCCGCTCCCTCAGTCAGCCTGCCCCACGCACGTTTGTGAGTATTATCCGTAACATTAACTCAATGCAATGTGTTCACCTGGAAGTGGCTAGCAATCCAGGCCAATTTAGACAGAAGCATCTGCACCACCAGGTGATCACTCTTGCTCTGATAATTCTGTGAAATAGCTACTTTTTTTGTAAAAAAAAAAAAGTGTTCTCTGTTTCAGACAGAAACAGTTCCAATTCTTACATGATGCAGTTTCATGAATTTCGTTTCACAAATTGTCAGAAATCTATCGCAAAGGTCCGTTATTGTTGGGCAAAAGAACCATCTTGTAGCAAGTAAACTAAACCAAGCTTCCCACAAATTTAAGTTGTGGGCTGTAGTGTCTCATATGTATTTACTTGAAACAAATTTTGAACTCAAGCACAATTTATTCCACATAGTCTTTTAAACATCAATCATATCTTTTCTGGAATGTAGAGTGTCAGATGGTAATTATGATTTTTCAAGCAGAATTAGTCAGGTTGTCGTGTAAGCTTTCAAAAACATCAACAAAATCCTCAATGTGAGGAGATTGAAACCAGACATTGTGTTCCAGAGATCTTACAAAGGTCAATTGTACTTGAACATTGTAAACTTGAACATTGTAAACAAAGTTGTAAACTTGAATATCATGTACTTTAACTCATTGCATTAAACATACTTTAACTATCACATTGAGTATTGCTCATGAACTTCCAGAGGTCTATGCCCTAGAATGTCCAGAGCGCCCTCTCTCTCTCCAGCTGCTTTCAAGGCATTTGTGAACGTTGAACACTGGACTTCTCCAAACTAAACATCAATTTTCAGTCATGGGTTTGATCACTGTATGCACCAAAATTCAGCTCCAGAAGTTGAGTATTTACAATCTGAATATCGCAAACAGTATGTCTATATTGGTTTATGCCCCTAATGGCTACATCTAGCTTATTGATTTTAAAACAATGTAAATGTATTTTATACACAAATTCCTGCAGAAGATGCTGGTCTCTAAATAAATCCAAATTGATCTATAATTACTTTATGCCTTTATTCTTCCAAGCAGTTTTCAATCATCTCGACTATCTTAAAAAGTGAAGTAGCTCACGTTGATATGATCATTGCTGATCTAGGGCTTCAGCTCCATTTTTCTGCCTGCTCCACATGTTACTGAATTTCTTGAGACCAAAATCGTTTTATTCCAGCCTTACCTATAATCAGTGCTTCAGCATCCACAATCCCTGTGAGTAGAGAATTCTGAAGATTCAAAGCCATTTGAGTGAAAAGATTTCTCCTCTTCTCAGTTCTGCTTGATCATCCACCTAACCTGATGTTTTGTCCTTGTGTTTTAGATGTCCAAGCCAACAGAAACAAATCTCCATATCAATCCCTTCCAGAATCTTGTATATTAAAATGAGATAGCCACTCATCCTAAGAAACCCCAAAGAATACAGACCCAATGTACTCATCTCTCACCATGGGACAACCCTTTACTCCCAGGAAGAAATAGGGAACCTCTACTGTACAGCCTTCGATATAAGTATTTCCTTAAATGATGAGACCAAAACTGCATATATTATTCCAGGTGCGGTCTTACCAAAGCCTTTTTCAATTGTAGTAAAACATCTTCATTTCTGTACTCCAATATCCTTGCATAAAGGCCATTTTCTTTTGTAATCATTTGTTGTACCTGAATGCTAGTTCAGTAATTTTTGTGCAAGTACACCCAAGTCTCACCGAGCACTAACATTTTAAATGTTTAATGTTTTATGAAAAATACAGTATTCCGTTTTTCTCAACATAATGAATAACCATACTGTGCCACATTATACTGCTTCTACCATTTTGTTGCCCCCACACTTTGTAGCCTTTGTGTCCTCCCTGTCAGTTTACATTTTCATCTAGCTTTTTATCATCAGCAAGCTAAGACTCATTACTGTCTACCTCACTGACTGATTCATCAATGCACATATACCATGAAGACTGAAGCCTTTGTTCTTGTTTAATGTGGTACAGTTGTCTACGTATATTTCCAAAAAGCTTTTGGCAATCCACCAGGCTTCCCTCATCCATCATCCTGGTGACTTCTTCAAATTTGAATTTAAGGTATCATTTTATTCAGAACACCCAACATAGCTTCCTAATCTGTTTTTATGAAAAACACAACAAATAGCTTACAAGGTCACATCTGATGACCTTATCTATTTAACTATAGTACCATCACATTAAGTCTTGTGCTCTTGAGAGCTGTGACTCAGTGATTCTTTAACTCTAAAGAAGTTGCAAGCTCACAGCTTTCTCCACATTCAGCTTGACATAGGAAAGCAAACAAACCAAATGGCAGAACATATTTTATTTGGCTCCTTTGGCAGAAACAAAGTCCTTCTCTGTTTGCCACCCACTTCAGCTCTGCCTTTCCCAACTCTTCCTCCTCCTTGGATTTTTTGATTTAAGTATCAAACCAGGTAATTTTATTTAATATCACTAGATAGAAACAATTTATCAAACTGATCTTGGTAATGTTTTTAATTTCTACGTATATTAAACGAACAAGAAACTGAATTCTGCTCATGTTTTGAGATTTGTGATCAGACT